TTTGTCTCCATCTTTGCAAACTCTTATCCACTTGGCATCCTTTGCTGGGGTGGGTTGAAAGCACTTGTTCTTGGGATTCTGTACGATTCTCAGAGGAAGGTAAGAAGCGCGTGCAACTCCTTTCCTAGTAAATAGATCAAAAATCATTTCAAGTGATATTAAAAGTTTGGGGAGTGATGTATTTTTAACTGTTTGAATAACTCTTGGCAAAACGCGCGTGTAAACCAACACGCTGTTGCTTTTTGACAGTTTTAACCAGCAATCATAGGAGGGTGATCAAGGCCCGCAAAGCAATATGGGACTAAACACGATTACAACTTCATTTGAGTTTGACCGTCGTCGAGTAAAGGACTCCTGGCGGGACGCCGTAAACGTTTAAATCGTCCTACCGTCTGCTCTGTGGTCATCTTGAAGCTACAGAGCAATTCTATCTTTGTTGCTAAGAGCTCAGTGAAGAGTTTTAGTACTGATAAGAACTGCTAAACACTAGCAAACCTCTGAGTCAAGACTGCGAAGCGATCACTGACCTTGGGTTCATCATGTTTCGGCTATGTCCGGTCACGCAACACTGTTGAGTTTTGTCATTTAGTTTTTATTTATCTTTTGCTTCAAATTAAAGATATTTTTACATCATAAACTAAAATATAAGAACTTTGCTATCGATATTTATCAATGAACTGTAAATTTGGTTAGAACTTTAGCAGTAAGTTTCAATACCCAAGAGTATGAACCGACGTGACAACAACATTGACGTAAATCTATATAGTTGTTCATTGAAAATTCAAAGTATCTCGAAAACTAGACCGGGTTCATGGGGGTTCACGCAGGGATTCTTGTTTTTGATGAGTCGAAGAATGCGTAGAAATTGAAATATATTCATTTCATCCATTAGTTCAGCAAATACAATTGGTGAAAGTTAGGGTAAAATACGCAAAATTTAGAAAGGCGCGAAAGCGTTGACTGGAAGAAAAACTTTGATAAATCCAAAAGTACTGCTTAAATCATAATGAAACTTTAACCGGTCATTCTTGGGTCTTTTACCTACACGATGCGTTAAAAATTTCAATATGAAAAGCAATAAATATCCTAAAAAAATAGTTTTTCTGACYCGACTTAGAATTCTTGTGAAAATCTCTTTGCTTCACTGTGATTGGTCAGATTGGTCACGTGACACTTGATCACCCTCCTCTGCAGCAATGGTACAAATGTTTTGACTCTTAAAAATGACATTTTTCGCTATCGTGAAGCCAAATAACTTAGTTTGCATGTGGATCTTTATATTAAAGGTCAATGTGCAAAGTATGATTGGTTAATCCTTTTAAAAAATGCCGTGGTTTATTTCACCAGTAAACGAACKGTTCTGGTCTGAAGAGAAGGATATGTCGTACGACTTCATATATGGATGTACATATACATGGCCACTGATGTACACGCACAAGTTCTCTCGTGTGCACGTTTTGCACGGAGAAGAACTTAGAAAACTTGAAAATGGCGAGCACGAAGATACGAACCCTGCGCAATGTATTTCCCGACCCTATTTTCATATGACCCGGCCTACGCGCGCTCTTRAAAATACGTCGGGAAATGGTCACGTGATGGGAGCCGTACGCCTTTTCGCGACAGGGCCGTACAAAACCGTATCTTCCCGGATTGAAGTTCCGCGAGCTTAATTTATTTTTTGTTTTCACATTAGAAAAAGCTGTCATATAATGAAATGCTTATTGACTGAGTTAGGTCGAGCCGTACGGGAAAAGTGTGGTGTTTTATTGGATAAACGGGAAAAATTTCTTCATAAAACTTTTGAGATACATAGTTGATTTTTTGTGATGTTTACAGCCGTAAAAAATTAATCCAAATTTGATCAGAGAATCTTAGAAATGACGTATTTTAGCGATCCCACCTTTCGCGTACGTTAAATGAACCATCAGCATTCAAGATTTCATATTTGGTGCAAAAAYACTACAACGCGTCTATCCTATATTGTTCGGGTCCTAGTATCCAACGCGCCCGCTGGAAAGATATACAAGCATTCCATGACGTCAATGTCGCCAAATCGCACAAAGATCCATTGATGAAATCTAGTTGACTTAACTTACTTGTTAAGTTCCACACGCAGAATACGCGATTGTAAGGAGTTTTCATTTTTTCCCTCTGTTGCCATGTAATGTTCAAATTCCTGTACTTGCTTCTTAGAAGGATTTTTCTTGTAGTAGAAACGCTTTCAATTAAAAACAAAATATTCATTGMTTGGTGAAGATGTTCCAAAGCACTGGAATAAGCTATTGCACCAAAGGAATATATTGTTCGTTAAAGCACAGAACGCAGGCACTCTTCAACAAATAACTTAAAATTTTAAACATGTCATTTGACTCAACTTTGGAATCAGTGTATATACAGTCTTGTATGTACTGAGGAATCAAAAACATTACACAGTATTTACCTKATTTTTACATTTCGGTCCAAACAAGAAATTTCCCAAACTGTATGCAACCAGATTGTGTCCTTTCAGGGTGTGGCCTATGAGTACATGAGGATGGCTTCCAATGACAGCATGGACACYAAGGGACTTTAGATGTGCTGTTTCACGTCGTTGAAATATAGTCGGTCTTGCTAGGTACTCTGTACCCCAGTGCATGAAGACAACTATGACATCAACCTTTGACTGTGAGATGATATAATTTTTTAGTTTTAATTGGGAAGATAAAGTCACACTTTTAAGTCTATATTCTTCTGATGATATGTCTGATCTCTTCCAACAACTGTGTTGATGATTATGCCATATACGTACAGAAAATACTTAAATACATTATTCACGGCTTTGTGAGAAACCCAAATACTAAACTTGATTGTTTTCAGGTGCATCTACACGAGTTTTTTGAGAGCAATGGTGTGAGTCACCGCGAAATGACCAGAACGTCAAATGTTTGCCAAAATAATTTCAATTATTCATTGGGACGTTGTTGACATACCTTAAGATCGTTGACATCTCGTGTTACAGTTTCTTTTTTATAAATAGCTGGACCAGCATTCCGACCTTTTCGTTTTTCGATACAGTTACAGACATTTTCTTCGTTGGGCGGTTTTTCAAGAAATGTTATGCAGTATCCAAGAAAGCCAACCTTGATACCATTAACCTCGGTCGTTACTGGATTCTGTTTGAAAGACAAATACATGTATTTATATTATTCAAACGATTTCGATAYATGCTGAAACTATGGGGTGGCCTAATGGTACCCAAAAGGTACGACCACATTCATTCATATTCAAACCCTTACCGGTCATCGAGCAATCTTTCCCTAAAATTTGTCTAAGAACAAAATTTCTGTKGTTAAAATAGATATCTTGACGTCACCATAGCAACCTGATTTTTACAGTTGCTGTTATCTTGTACTATTCTTTCTGAGAGTAATCTACTGGACAAGACTCTATATGGCTTCAATCTAAAGATCAATGCGACCAAGACAAAATCTATGATATTTGCTTATAAATATCTTGCAGACCAACTCTCCTATCCGACTTCCATAATCAGTCTAAACAACACTATTGCAAACTTAGAGAACTTCACATATTTGGAAGTCATATTAGATATGATGAACCAACAACAGGCAATGCAGAAATCAATCTTCGCATCAACCTAGCAGAAGCTAAATTCCAAGAATTAAAATCTAAACTTCTGAACCTCAACATTAGTCTACCAATTCGTATGCTATTTTTGAACKCATTCGTTCAAAGTCGCATGGCGCACAAATATTGAACATAAACACCACTCAAACAGGTGAAATCGACAGCTGTTATTGTCAGCATGCTAAGAAGAATGATCAAGAATGGATTTACTAGAAAAGATGGAAAACACCAAAGAAAGGATGAAGAAGACGACCAAGACCAATAATTCAGATACAAATATTCGAACAAGGACCTCCTCTATATATGCAAAACAACTTCAACCAAACTTCAACCAAATTTTGTCGGTCTCAAAGTGCATCTCACCGATCATCTTATGCATCGCTTCAAAGTGAACGTAAAAAATAATTGGCACTTACTTGGGGTTGTTCGTTYTCAAKRCTGCCATAACTATAGCCAAATGGCAGAATCCCATTATTCTTCAATATCTCTACTGTGAAATTGACTGGCTTTGTTTTGTAGTCGTTAAGGTGATTGTTTGCCAATGACAAAATGTCAAACCCTGCGAACCTGAGCAAAATATCAGAAGCTAGAATACACAAGAAAGCAAGGAAGGTGCACGCTAATGATTCAAGGAATAAGAAAAAAGTTTGGAATTTTTGAGAGAACACTACTCAAAAGATTATTGAATCACTCGCTTTAAGCTCGCTACTCAAGCCTTTCTCGTATTTTCCAAACAATCCTGTGTGTTTCTGAAAAAGGAAATTCGAAAAATATCTTCTARTGCTCTTCTAAGCATTACTAAAACTAGAATAAAAATAGATTGGGTAACAACAAGTCTATAGTTTGTGTAAAAGAGTGCCAGACCTTTARAGCGGGCTGGTCCTATCCATCCTATTATCTTTCACAATCTACCCTSTCGTCGGGCTTCCCCCTCTCAAAAGAATAAGCTGCTTAGTGGAGCACAGACTTCGACAACTTCGGAAACTACGCCACGAYGGACTCAMCCCGAAATCACCCTCTTCACACCTAAGGGGGCTACATTGTAGCCTTCTTRCATTCGATTAAATTTTCATCTTGGTTTGCCGTTAGGTGCCTCGGAATTGTTTGTGTTTAATATCAAACTGAGATGTCGAAAACTGAGTCAGCCCGGTTAGCCAGGCTCATCACTTCATATGATCAGTGCCTGAATGTATTTAGAAGCGTTTCAGTCTCAAGTCAAATTGCAAGTCATGTAAACTTTCTTTTGCTTGAAATTCAATTCAGCGCCATTTAACATCAGATTGCATTCAGCGCAACCATTTCAAAACGACTCGAAGGTTAAAAACTATCTATATTCCAAACAATATTTTCTTCCCTTCTTAAGTGTAAGCAACCCCACCACGTCCCTTGAAAACAATATGTTAAACTTTTAATTTTTAACGTAGTAAACTTACTTTAAAGCTTCCACGCTGCTAGGTTCAGCACTCAGTAATGGAATCATGCCAGGTACACCATCCTTTCGCATATCTTCGCGAATGAACGCGCCCTCCAGGTTCCCTAGCACGAGGTCCGCCTGCTTCAACACAGTTTCTACATTTGCAAAGGAACTATTATAGGAGCAATATCCGTGTCTGTGATAGTAGCTTGCGGCACCGTCAAAACTTATGTCTCCCACAAAATGCAATATTACATTTCCACCTGTRAAGATAATCATAGAATTACTAGAATCGTAACTTCCCTAGATGAGCAGTAAGCTCTTTTAATAAATATCAGGAAATATTAGCACATTTGAAAAAGAAAAACTTGAGCCATCCAGAAGTTCTTCAAAACAAACCTTATTCCCTACTACAACATGTTCTTCAAGTGAAGCTTCTTTAGTCTAAATGAAGGCCGGACATTTTGGAAGATTTAGCATGTAAGCCATATTTTAAAAAGATTTTTTCCCTCTTTATCTAAATAGTCCATCGTATTCTATATGATGGTTTCTAAACCATTCTCAAACCTTGACARTGTTCAAATTGTTCATTTTCTAAGTGGCCTTAAATTTCACTCGAAATACTGTAGGCTGGTCATTGTCAGATTTGTCTCTTTCGTYACGTTTCTCCACTTGAAGGAGCACCTTTTCCTAGCCTTTCAGTGCCGTTGCATGACAATCACAAAAATTTAGGCTCACTCAGGTATAGAAACTCATGGCTTAATGTTTAGGCAATGCATAGCGTGGGTTCGAATCCCCATGATCGTTCTTTTAAAAATATTTGTTTGAACATTTCCTAAGTTCTTCTTCAAATAGTGTGTATTTGAGAACCTTCTATATAATGTGTACGCTGTGCAAAACCATCCATCGAAGTCTATCAAGTGCTCTCAATCCAATGTTGCTCAATATTTTGTCCATTTTACTGCTTGTCCTTATTCAAGAGGAAATCTGAATAGAACACTAGATGAGAGACTGARGAAACATTCAACCAAAAAATGACAYCCTCGTAAACGACCACTTTGAAAACTACAAAACACCTTCAAGTCATTGGATTTAACACCTGACTTATTCAGTAATAGGAAAAATCCTCATAGGCACACAACAAATCCATCAGAATTCTATCTTAACATTATTGAAAATTGTTTGATATAATTGCTGCCAAAACTAATACAATTGGAGTTTCTCCTGTTTAAAGAGGATCTCCACTGAAAACATCATTAACTAATAACATGTCTGCTGTTTTAAAAAATCATTTTGCGTGATTATGATTTATTATATCAAAATATAGTGCCCTTTATATTTGCTTGCAGGTGTCCATTCTTCAATCGTTGCCAAAATGTTGGAATGTTGGACATTTATTCGAGTTTCACACTACGCAAGAATAAATGACTGAGTTCTTAACCCCCCTCCCCCTCTCAATGTTGCCTGTTCCTTGCGATTCTTCATGCATTTGAAAGCCACCTCATCATACATCATTAATACCGCAACATTGATTTTAAGGGGACCGGGTATTATTGAAAAGATATAGCAGGACTGGGACCTATATTTAAGTCGTCTCGTATAAACGTTCCAAGTAGTTTTGGCAACGATTGTTGATTGAATATCAAAATGACATTATTCGAGAAATCATTCATTTTTTTGTAATATAAAATAATAGCGGGATACCTTTATGGACAGCTTAATTGCGAGCTGCAAGCGAGCTGTCTTAAGCMCATAAAGGCTGGACGTGATATTTTATATTGCTTATCAAATTCCGACATAAACCAAAGMATACTTAGCCAAAAAAGTCTTCAAGATAATATAAGTCTTTTAGAGAAAAACTAAGTTAAAGTCGTATGTAAATCTGGACAATCTCTTGCTCATGAAGACGCAGTCACGGCAGAGTTTTCTATTGTGTTTACTTTGTGATTCATTAATGAATTTACGATTGTCATTTAAAATCACTTCATGGTACATCAGAGCTGACGATTATATATCAACAATTTCTGCCATTCCAGTCACGTGTTCATGATATACACATATTCCTGTCAAGGTCAACACTCGCTCACAATAATAGTAAACACATCTAAACTAAACACGGGGATTTTATACGTTTTCGTAAAGAAAGTCATCGTCGAAGGACGCTACAAAACATTTCCTTTAATACCTGTTAAGTCGATTAGCACCAACAGCAATCCAAGATGAGGGTATTCCATGGRTTATATCGGCCYTATAGTAATGTGTATTATAGTGTGCTTTTTCTGTGATCAACTGACACAAGTACTGATTGAATTGAAAAACAAYTACTTGACAAAAGCAAGATGTTRTCGGAGCCTCGAYCTTATGTTTCACTCCTGATCTCYTTGCGATCCSCTGCAGTTTAGAGCATAAAAACCTGCTAGAGACGTCTCGTTTCTCTGACGTCTTTTCACAAGACGTTTCAAATGTGTATCATTAAATCCTATATGACCGTCCCAATCGACCAAAATGGCACTGCAGGTGTAGTGGGAGTTTGACAAAGCAGGATAGAGACTCCACTAGAGAACCTATACGCAGTCTAAAAAAAGAGAAATTGAAGCCCGAACTTCAAACTTATGAGAGGTTTTCCGCTTTCCTAATAGGGGTCGCGTTGTGAATTGCATTGCAGAAAAATCAGTGAAGAAAGTTTAAATTGGTTAAAGAAATAAGGAATATTTGGTTCATATTGTTAAATTTCACAATCGTGGCACGATGAGCGCGCGTTGTTTCAATATAGTTTTGCTTTTGWACTGGTTACCTGTTCAACTATTGTTTTTAATTAGTTTTTTGTTGGATAAAATTAAGCAAAATAAAACAAATATTTCAAGCGAGCTCATAAGAGTCCGTATATGGCAGTTTTGCATGTACACATAGAAGGCTTCTTATTATTTCCATTGCTTATCCTAGAAATGACCCCTCAAAGAATTGAACTCGACTTCTTGATGAAGTAGCTAGATCACAAGCTCTGTTTTTGAATGTGATCGATCTTTTCTACTTGCAAGATTTTCGAAGAATTTGTTCTTCCTCTTACCACTATAGATTTATAATCCCAGTTCTTTACGTGAGTCGGTAATAATTATCGTCAATAAAGAATAATCAAACAGGTGGTCACTTCAAAAACAGAACAAATTGAAAAACTAGACGAAAAAGGTCATCGTCATTTACTTGGTTGTAAATACTACTCAATCGAAAATCACGCAAAATAAAGCGAACAATCCAAAACACACACATTCAACCGAAATACTTTTTCTTCAATCAATATAAAGGCAAATATGTATGTTTCTCGGAAAATATAGATAATAAAGAAAACCTAACTTCATGAAATAAATAAAAATTTTCTTCCCTG